TTAGCTACTCTGCACCACACTGGACTGGACTTACGGCAGGAGAGGCTCGTCTTGTTTGTGTAACGCTATGGATGTATCCTTTTCCATGACTTCTGTGACTCTAGATGATTTGTCTCTGGACACACTGTTGTAGATGTTCTGCCTGCCGTGATGGGACATGTTTGATGGGACGGTAGATGCTTCTTGCACTTTTCTTGCTAGCTGTGTTTTGCATGTGTGGGGTGGGAGTGGGAGTGGGGGAGTTTGCTAAGATCTAGATCCTACTCCACGCTGGTGCCAAGTCGGGGGACGGAATCCAGCCTAGCCGGAAGGTGGATCTCCCTTTCATTGACGGACCTGTTGTTAGGCCAGGTGCTCCAGCAGGTGCCACTGTACCCTGGGTCCACCTGAGCACCTTAGGCATGGAGGGGACCACGGAATCGATGCCAGCGCAGCACAGCATGCCGCTTTTGTACCCGCTTACATCCGCCTTCACTCTGGTGTCTTACGCAGCCATTCGTTTAGCTGGCTGCACAGTCCCAGGGGACCTACTGTTTAGAAACGCTGCGAGGATGTGAGATGGAGACATGGACAGGCGGGAGGGTGGGTGAGGCGCCCTGAGGCCCTGTCATCCCCATCTCCTGGTAGGCTTGTCCCATCATGCACTGCTGCATCACATTGGCCTTCCTTAGTAACCAAGGATGGACGGACAGACGGGTGGTCAGCCGGCCCTTTGACAAAGGACGACTCCAATGACTGATAGTAACCTGTGAAGCTGAAAACTCAAAAAGCTGCCACACATGCGGGGAACATTTTCGTATTTCATCGCATTGAGTCAGACGTCTCCCCTTTGCCTCTGAAAGATGGCAAGATCGCGTTGTTTTTTTTCGGGGGTGCGTGGAATTAATTCCTTGCAGGAAACTCAGCACCACTGCACGTTGAGCTGGGAGTCGTCAGGATGGGGACTTTGTGCGGCATTGGTGACGTGCCCTTGTGCACTGCTGTCAGGCGCGGCGTCCTGCAGCCCCTGCGGCTTTGGGCGACAGCCTGGAATCTGGCAGGAGTTGGGTTTTTTTGTAAGTGGAGATGTTCCGCGGAGGTTTCTTTTCTTTACGGCGATAAGCGCAGCGATTACTAGCGATTTGGGCTAAACTGTAAATTTGTCATCGCCTGCTGACGTATCGCATCCTGGGAGGCTCGCTGTCCGAGAGATCCAGCGCCGGAGAAACCGTGCGGGTGACATGTGCCCAGGGGGTGTTCGGGAAGGTGGCATTTGGGCCGCAGGCAAAGTCGCTTTCATGGTGGGGTCTGTCTGTGAGTCCAGCGGTATGACCACAGAGCCAAAGTCAGTTTGTATCTTGTAAAGACTGTCTGTAGTAGTCAGGGTTAATCAGTCGCTATGTACCAGTCAGTCTGCTGGTTTAGACCGGTCGATTGGTCATTACTTGCAGAATTCATGTCACGCTTACCCAAGCAGGCATAGCGTCGGTCAGCTACGGGTCCTTCACCATTGTGCCCATCCCTTCTGAGGCTTTGTCGCTTCAGTACCGCTTCCTCGTGTCTCTTTGTTTTGAGGGTTGGCCACCATTGTGTTAGTAACACACGAGTAACCAAGATACAGGACCAGCCTCCGAGTCACGGAGGACGTGAGGGCGGTTGGGGTGTGAACAGAGTGGCCATTTCCTGGGAGGGCCTCCCCAGGGCTGAGCATGGACACAGACGGACTCTGGTCCACAGCTAACCACAGTGTGCTGGTTGCTTCACTTTCTTTCTACTCTGTAGAGGGCTCCTGCTTCGGCCGCGGTGCAGATGACTTACTCTCTTATGGACCCCTGCAGAGCTGGTCTTTAACCTCTCTGCTGCCATTGAACAAGATCCTTCAGAGGTTTTAAAAGCCTAGGAGGACTGCATGGTCCGTGCCTTTAACAGTCAGCAGTTCACAGTTAGCCTCGAGATGGATGAAGACCCTTGATGAGAAGGACCTTTTATATAAAAAAAAAAAAACAGTTTTCCGTTACTTTGTTTGGTGTTTAAGCAAATGTCACTCACTCAAGCAGAAAGGTGGACTTCATTCAGCCTTAACCTTAAGGGAAAAGGCCACTGTGCTCTGACTGCATTAGCAATAAATGTTGTATTGTTTTTGATTGACCTGCAGATTACTTATAATCTGCTCTGGGTTATTGGCTAATTAACCATTACAATGAAATGGCTGGATGCCTTTCTTTCTGTTCTCTGTTAATTCCCGCAGCGAGTTAAAGAAATGACGAAAATAATTTCTCCTCCCTTTCTATCCTCTCTAATGGCTTAATTGCTGTTTAGTTGCATCCTACATGTAAATAATGACATCCAAAAATATAGTAGCCCAAACGGAGGGGACCTGTTTAGCTCTGGTACAGAGCACAAGATGCTCACAGCAAAGGACAAGGCAAAAACATCGGGTCTTATTATAGGAAAACACTCTGTACATATAACCATAGAATAAACACTTATGTAATGTTTCACAGTTAGAGTAGCATGTTATACAAGGAAGGTGGTCTACCTTCAGGATAATATCTGGAAACAACTGTACCCTAACAAAGTATCCATCATCATCTTAAACGAAAGACACCAATTAAGTTACAATGTATAGTTATAAATGTATTTTCCTCACCTTTTGATTGTGTTGCTGCCTCTCTTTGTCTTTAAGTTGCAGATACAGTCAGACTTAGCCTGAAAATCGCAGACTTAATTACATATTAAAGTTCATACGGTCAATGACAGTATAATTAGTGTTTTTCTCTCCGATGTGCACTGCAGACGTAGTGTTCGGCTGACTGCTTAGTCACAACAAATTGGCGATACGTAAAAAAAATTGGGCCACACATTTATCTGTTCTAAAATTTGCAGTTTCATTTCGAATAAGTGCGCAACTACACCACAAGGGCTAATGTGTAGCACTCATGAGGGGAAATATGCGCAAGTTTGCTGGCTAAATCACTCGTGGATGTTGCTGTTGTTTCGTTCGTGTGTGAAGTTTTGAACTCTGTAGGTTTTTCGTATCCTTAGGTTTTTTTTTCCCTTGTGATGAACGGAAAAACAATATCCTTCATGGCTCAGGTAGCAGTTGTCATGAACGCGAAGGTGGGCGGTAATGATTGTTGTCTTTGCGTAGACGAAACGCAGATACACGAATGCTGGGTAGGATGCGAAGTTTGGGAAGGACCACATTTCGGATCACAGGTTGGGCTAAATTTATCTGAAGGACAGGAGGATGGATCCTAACCGATCCCTCCCCACTAGGTATGAGTCTGGCTACTGCAGATGATATAAGCAGGAGGGAAAGGTGCCACAGAAGCGTAAGAGATGATTCATCCTGGTGTGAGCGAGTAGCTCTTCAGGAATAATAGGGGCTGGCTAGGAAATATCATTCAACAGGGAGCTGATTGTCCCAGCATGAAACCCTGACATGCCAGCAGAGCGACTGGTTCATGCCCACACACGGACGGGCCCGCCCCCAGCTCCCTCCTTCCAAACCCCGCCCCCAGCTCCCTCCTTCCAAACCCCGCCCCCTAATTCCCCGCTACCTGCACAACGCAGCCTAGCCTCGAACCGCGTGTAACCGGCCGTCCCTCTAACCCCAAACTGCGGCCCAGGAGCAGAAGAGGAGCTACAGGGTGGTCCGCTCGTGTGAGACGGGGGCCTGCCAGGACTCGCTGGTGGCCCTGGCGCAGAACTGCACGCTAATGCACAACGTGCTGGGCCCCGCCTGCATCTTCCTGCGCAAGGGCTTCGCTGAGAGCCGGCAGGCTGTACGTAAGTCTGCGCGGGCATGCACACACTCACGCAGAATATAAGCCATGACACACACGCACACTGACACACACACAAACTGACACACAAGAACATTCATAGCATTGATTCATATGGACAGACAGTATCAGCTTTCTGTCACACAAAAAGTCACACGGTAGAAACTTTCATACTCATTCTCTTTAGTGCAAATTCAAATGAAATTCAAAAACTGAAGTTTCCTTGGGTACTGTGATGATGCATGAATGGAGAGATAGAGAGTATGTGAAAGAGAGAAACGAAAGAGAGAGCTCAAGACAGAGAGAGGTAACCAGGTGGATTTAACAGATATGTAATGCAGTTCATCCTTTTGCCAGTCTAAATTGTTCATGACCTCATTATCATGTGGTTTAGGCATCATCGATCTATGTTACCTGTGTATCTCTGTGATGTAACTTGTGTGTTTCCATGGTAATTCCTCCCAAAACCACTGGAATCTATTTGGAACTGTGTCCAAGTGTAACCTGTCCACTCTAACTCCTCTGATTTGTCAGGAAATGCCTCGTCCAGCAATCAGGATTTGTTTTTCTGCTTTCCATGAGGAAGACTCTTCATATTAATCCTTGTCTCCTTACCACGGCCTTTGTAAATAAATCCCAGGAGGCAAGTCAATCTCACCATACTCAGCGATTCCACGAAGAGCCAGCGTGACGGACGTGGGGCAAAACGGCTGCAGGGATCCAAATCCTGCAGTGTCTATGAGAGCTTTATCTCCTGGTCTGACGCTTCCCCTTCCGAGATTTTCTCTCTCCCCCTTTGCCAAAAAAACAGAGATGGGGAAGCATCCATTCAGCTGAATTATCAGACTCTGGGACACAGGACTGAGTCCTGAGTGAAATTTTAAACATGCACCATTTATTTTTTCAAACAGTTGGCGCAGTTTGAATAAATCATTTAGCAGGAACCTGAATGCTGCACCGGTCAGGTGTCGGATCCAGAAGCAGTTAGAGAACATTCTGGAATGATCAGGGACATTAGCGTCCAAACAATAGGGTTGGTGGAGACCAGTGTGTTACCCATGTAGGATGTGAGCGTCAGGCAGATGGTCCTAGCTGAGTGGTAAGCCTTGGATAGCCCCACAGAATCTACAAGAGAGAAGACTTGCAAAATTCCAGGCTTCTTGGTTCCGCTGCTGCTGGAGGACTGAGCAGGAACCTCACTGATGGTCCCTCATTTCTCTTGTTCCTCTGCAGGACCGGCAGTTGCGACCAGAGGAGCTGGATGGTGAGTGCTGAGAGACTATCGCCGTGGGGAGCTGAAGGGTGGCGCAGAGAGGGACTCCTTCATGTGGAGGAGCCATTCAGCAAATGGCTGTAGACCAGTTGTCCATCACCAGCACATCACCCCCCCACCCCGAGGTGAAACAAAGTGACAGTGTTCGTCTCCCTCTCTCACAGAACTACGGGAGGCTTTCAGGGAATTCGACAAGGACAAGGATGGATTCATTGGCTGTAAAGACCTGGGCAACTGCATGAGGACCATGGGGTACATGCCCACCGAAATGGAGCTGATAGAACTGAGCCAGCAGATCAACATGAACTGTGAGTGGCCATGTACAAGCTCCTGTAGTTTAGCACAGTGTTTCCCAGACGGTCCACGTTTCTGCTCCCTCCAAACTCCTTGTCAGACAGCCCACATTTTGCAAAAATGTGAACTGTCTGGTGGCTCCTGTGGCCCAGATTGGGAAACACTGGTGTAACAAGTGCAGTGTTGTGCTAACAATGCAAGGGTTGTGGGTTCAAATCCCTTGGAGTGCCCATAAATTGTAGCCCTTCCCTCTACTGTAAGTCCCTTTGGGTCAAAGGGGTGGAAAATTTCTGGTAAATTTCCAAAAACTTTCCATGGGAAGTAGGGTTGCACAGAGGCAGAAACTTTCCGTGGGGAGGTAAGCGGGGGAATTTTGTACATATAGAACTCCACGCAAGCTGTCAGATACAGCAAACTGCATGAGTAATGCGACATAGAATATGGCTTATAAGCAGTGTATTTTGATGCCGATGCTTATTTTTATGTACACGTAATTACTCACAAGCACTTGGTTACACATTGATTCCACTATTAGTGCCGTCAATATTTTTTTAAACTATATTTAAGTTCCCTGTTATGGGTTAACCTGCAATCTTGCAAATTTCCAGTTTATTGCCATTAATCCCCATATGTTCCCATTAACTCCCATGGAAAGTTTCCAACATTGAAAATTCCCAGAATTGTGCAACTCTAGTCATGTGTCTGTGCTGAGAAGGGGACCTAAGCGGCAGACACGTTCAGGACGCCCCCAAGGAAGAGATGCCCATTTCTGCAAAAACTACCTTGTTGGTTTTCATGTTTTGCTGGTTGGGGGTGGGAATCATTTCATTGTTGGGGAGCTTTAGAACATGGAAGCCTGTGTGTATGCCCGAGAGGGAATGCAGAAGCAGCAGCCCTCTGAGCGCAGTCCTCGCTTCTCGGTGCTCCTACCATCTGCAGTGGGGGGTCACGTGGACTTTGACGACTTCGTGGAGCTGATGGGTCCCAAGCTGCTGGCCGAAACGGCAGACATGATCGGAGTCAAGGAGCTGAGGGACGCCTTCAAGGAGGTAGTGTTCCGAGCTGGGGGGGGGTCCCGCCTTTCCTAGGCCGCTCTGACGTTCCTCTGCATCCACGGCCCCCAATGCCCTCGCCGCTCCGCCCTTGCTCCATTGGGAGGGGGGTGTCCGGCCGTTTAACATGCATGACTGTGCCTCCGGCTGTTGGATTTGCTGTCTAAGCCTCTTTTAATTGAATTTAATTTCTAACGGGGGTGGGGTCGGGGGAGAATATGGATCGAAGACGGGAGGGGAATAGCACAGGCGTTCGCTTCTGCAGCCAGACCACGTTATCAGTGATTTAGCAATTTCAAAATAATGCAAATTCCCTCTGCAACACTATAGGAATACTTTTGAAATCATAATAATATTTGTTAAATCTTTAAAATTGTGTTCAGTCTTGCCTCCATTGACATAAAAAATACTTTTGCGAAGACAGACTTTACCAGTTTTTTCATTGGGACTTCAGACTCATTAGTTATATAAATTATATCCATCCATCCATCCATCCTTCATCAAGCTACTTATCTAATGCAGGGTCATGGGAGGACAGGAACACATCCTTCAGTTATATACGTTATATACGCATTATTTCACACAGTATAATTTATTTTATATGTATTATTTCACATATATATTTCTTCTTTCCTAAAAGCACAGTAACTAGGGTGTGCTTAGGCGCTGCCTTGCCTGTCACTGTACTCACCTCTGTTGCATCCACCATCTGTCACCTGGCCACATTCATCTTTTTCCTCCCCCCCCATCCCCCCCCCATCCCCCTCACCCTCACCCTGTTCCCCCGGGCAGTTTGACGCCAACGGTGACGGTAAGATCAGCACGGCGGAGCTCAGAGAAGCTATGAAGAAGCTACTCGGTCAGCAGGTGAGATCGTATGTACCCACACATGCATCCGTGAGCATTTTTCTGCATCGTTTAAGGTTGACTTTATTTGTTGTTTAATAAATGCCAGTTCCTGGGTTATTTGCATCTCTTTCTAGTACTGGAATTTTTAATTCTGCTTGTTTACCGGTCTCATTTGAAAAAGAAAAAAATCGGTATAGAGATTTAACACTCCTTGCTTGCAAACTGAGCTAATATGCTTGTAATTTGATAAACCACATTTGACTGACTTGATTGATTGATTGATTGATTGACTGACTGATTAGTGCCCCCCTCCCCCATGGAGGCAGACAGCCAGTGTCATTAACCCTGCCCCTGCGCCTCTTTGTCCAGGTGGGCCACAAAGACCTGGAAGACATTCTGAGGGACATCGACCTGAACGGGGACGGCCACGTGGACTTTGAGGGTGAGGCTCGTCACCGTCTCTGTCAGGGACGCGTCACCTTCAGCACATGCTGAGCAGCTTAACTTGGGACCAGAACAGTCTCAGGCTCAGGTTTTATGGCGGCCCACGCTGTTTGTTTCGAGCGAGATATTTAACCTCAGTTTATTCAGTAAAAAACCCACATCTCCAGACGCCAACACGGGACCATAACAAGCAGTGAAAAATGACAGGGAGGGTTAAGGAAAGGTAAAGAGGACATTCTGCAATGGAGAGAAAAAGCAGATATATTTATTAATGTTTGCTTTTCAGTGCCTCTCCTGTTGAACGATTGATGGCAAACACAGAATGTTTAGCGGTCCAGGCATAGAAAAAAGATGGGAAGCTAAAGACTGTATAATTGTCAGATTATCCCCTTTTTCAGAGGATTATGTCGCCTCGTAGATTATCTCTCACTTCTGCCATCGAGCAGAGAGAGGATTGAAAATGTTCTTTTTTTAGCTGATCTTTTTTTAACCCGACGGATTGGTTACGTGCACGCTTTTGTGCCTCCCCTTCACACTCGACCCATCAAAATTTATCTCACTATATTATAAGGGTAATTTATTTCCACAGTCTTCTGGTGCCCCCGTTTCTCTCTGCCAGCCATCTCGACGTGGTCTAGTCCAACCTGCCGGAGGAAAGAGAGCTGACCGCCCGTGTTTATCTATTCCCGCTCTTCCCATTCGCCTCCCTGTCAGAGTTTGTCCGGATGATGTCCCGCTGAACTTGGGGACAGTGTTGGAACGTCAGAGCCGGACCCCATCGCCTCCACGGCAAAGGATGGAGAGAGGGAGTGCAGGAGTGAGCGCCGTAAACTGAACCCCCCCTCCCCACCCCTTCCCAAAGTTGTACTAGGAGAGAGAACCTTCAACTTTGACCTCTGACCTGCGAACTATTGACCCAGGCAAGAGTGATGTCACAGCCGTTTCCTGCACACGCTCTTTGGGTCAGTGGGTGGACCAGCAGACCAGGCCGATGCGGAGACCAGGCAGGCAAGCAGGGCAGCGACTCCTCCCCCTGCGCCTCCTCACTCCTCCTCGTGTGTGGAAAACCACTGTGTGTTCAAGGTTCCAGCAATAGTGCTTCCAAACCACAGGTGTCGTGCCCTACTGTGCGTGCACTGGGAGGAGCAGTGACCTTAACGGTCACTCTGACACGCATCTCCCGCTTTTATTTGTTAGCAGATGGAGGGGAGGAGGTAGGTAACATGAGTGGGGAGCACAGCCACCAGGAGTTGACAGGAGAAATACCTCTTTTAAATGTTAATTGTCACATAGCCACAATGTCGTTTAAATGTTTGTCCCTTTTAATACACTCAATGAGTGAGGTGTCACATTTCAAGCTAGTGAGATTACAACTGTAATTTCTATGTATTTACTCTGCATAATGTTTTACATATTTGTCCATTCCTTAGAGACTCCAATCATGGTAAATACAGCAAATAAATATGAGATATCAGTTACAGGAATTAAATATCTACAGGACATATATAATCAGTGTTTACACTGGGTTCATGCTGGATCAGTGCAACATCTACATAAAGCTGCATGGGGCCATTGTGTGGCTCTATATGGGAAAGGATTCTGTTCCTGTAATAAGAAGGTCATAGGTTCAAATCCCAGGGGTGATGTCACCGTTGAGCCCTTGATCAAGGCTTTTAACCTCAGTTGCTCCGGAGACTGGCAGACCCTGCTCCCTGATCCACAAATGCCTGTCACTATGGTTACATGTAGATCTGCAAGCACAGGACCACGATCTGAAGGCAAAAACCTCAGGCTGCGGCCCAGTCTACCTGAACAGCCCCCAGTGAAATGGCTGCATGTGATCGAATGTACGTGTTCCATGACGATGCGTGTGCGAGTTCCTGAGGGGATGGCCTTTCCACGTGACCTTTAGCAGTACGTCTGTCATGTTAAACTTCACAGTCCTGACGTAGTAGTTTGCAGTCAGAGCTATCTCAGGTAGCTCTCTACTGTGCCTGAGCATGGAAAAGTCGCTTTGCGTTTTTGTACATGCGTGAAACATCTTAAGTAGTCACTTTTCATGTGTTATCTGTTAGTTTCCTGTTTCTATGCATGCGCCAGCAGTACAGACCACCTACGGTACACAGAAATAACCTATTCTTATAACAGGACAAATACAAATAAAGACTAATCTAGAATTCGGGAGTCAGTGACTCTGTCCTTACGATTATGCAAATGCGGCAACGTTCCCATGAGGTCTTCCTGCATTCAAACAGAGTCTGCATCACGGCTGGTTTTTATTACAGATAGTGACAACAGATCATTTGCATGTCAAACAGTGAGTAATTAATATTCTTGCTGTTATTCCTACTTAATTATAATCATAATGATTATTATGTTGGGTTTGGCGGGCCTGAAGAGTTACTGTGTATATTTATTTTTAAATTAATATACAAAGGCATTAGGCCATGAGAAACTCATACTTGCTTAAAATGTTCAATGACATCCACTCTTAGAAGTACAGTACAAAAAGCTGAGTTACCATGGAAACAGGCCCTGCTGTCTGACCAAGAGGGTTGTGGTGCCATCTAGTGGTAATAATTATCTTAGCAATGCAGGTCTGACAACCATACCTGCAAAACCCTACACATCAATCATGCCCAAGTAACTCAAAATCAAAAATGACAAATATGGGGAACCTTACAAATGCATTCATCCAACCATGTAGCCCGGTGTGGAGTCTCCCAAGCAGCACAGGACACAAGCATGGGGTACACTGTGAATGGGATGCCAGTGAACACGGGGTACACTGTGAATGGGATGCCAGTGAACACGGGGTACACTGTGAATGGGATGCCAGTGAACACGGGGTACACTCTAAATGGGATGCCAGTATATTATGAATAATTTACCTAAGCATGACTTTAAAAGAGATATTTTGTCACAGGAAAAAAGGTCATATCACAATTAGACATTGTGACCGTTGTATTGAGGTTTGCCCTAGAAGGGCGCTGTGTCACTACTTAATGTTTATAAGAGCAGGAGCTCAGCCTCTGAGAGCAAATAGCAAATCCTGGGCTCCCAGCATATACTGGCTTAAGCATGCAGCCCCTCCTTCTTTCTTGTGCTCCAGCACTTTGTACCACGTGCTACCATGCAAAATGCTAACATCGCTTTGGCAGGTTCCATCATTTGTGAAACTAGATTTTTATCACGTTTTACCATTGACCATGTGGTTATTGTCCATCTATCACATGCAAGCTGTTCTTAAAGTAAAACAGCGTTTTTGCTTGCAAAATCTTCTTGGAATAACTATTTTGTGCTAACACATAATTTCAAATGATATTGAAACATTTTTTTTCAATTGATAATTTGCAAATTCTCTAAATTTATTATTGGCCTTGACAGTGTTAACTGTAATTTTGCCAAACTATGCGATAAGGAATGAAAATGACTAAACATTCAATGGAAGGGAATCAAATATTAAATATGCATTTGTGCTTTTGGATAATGGTGTGTATTCATTGTACGTGTGTCAGCAGAACCCTGTGCTGATCTTGGGCATGACGCACTAATATTTGTTATAATAATAATAATTAACTGTAACCCTAACCAGGACACGGCCAAACAGCCAGACGCCTCTGCACAAATAAGCAGACCGTGAGACACGAGCAGCACAAGCCTGCAGAGCTGTCGAGGCGTTGAGATTCAAAGACAGCATCTGTAAGACCTCCAAAATCACTACATTCCATGAAACTCCACACTTCCCAGCATGCCTTGCAGTGTATGTGGCCCATTTCTTTAATGACAGTTATATTGATTGAGTGTTTCATTTGGTATATATGATCACAATTCGGTACCCTTGGCATACAATTGGTATATTATCAGTCAAGATTCTTGTTTCTTAAGTTTGTGGCTCAGCAGGCCAAGCGTCTGTGTTTGTGATCGGATGGTTGCCGGTTGAAGCGTGGCCATGACAGAATAGTCACATGTACGTGGGCCCTTTAGCACGGCCATTAAACCCCAGCTCCCTGGGTGCTGCAATTGGTGGCTGCCCCTTCACTGTGACCTCCATGTTTGCACTCACCTGGATGGAGAATAAGATTGGGCAAAGCAGGAAATTGTATTCGTCTTATTATTAGATTTTATATTAATTTAAAAGTGATGCTATCAAAAGTTTGGACCATCGCTGGAAGTCATTGAATCATAGTAAACGGGGTGGATTAATATAATGACTTAAATCTTTGAATTATGCAAATCTTTATCCATTCGTTTAACAGTGCAAATGATAACCATCAATACTCATGACTGCTTTAATTTCAGACTCGCCGGCGGGAACAGATTTCTGTTTGTTCCGATCTTGGCCGGCAGGTAAGTGAGCCCACAATGGAAAACTCTAATATTCCTCAGCTGGTTTTTCGCTGTTCGTCGGATCTAGTCTAGTCTAGCTCTATGTCCGGTGGTCATGGCAACAGGCGAGCTTCGGCAACCAATAGCGAGTCACTATCCTCCTGAAACGCCGTAGCCACTCCATGGAGATGCGGGCCGCCATCTTGGATTGAACCGTATATCGGGCGTTTGCGCAGCCGCTGGGTCGAGGAAAATGAGCGGACCCAGGGCGCGATCGGAGCCTACGGCCGCTAATAATGACGAGGCCGCCGATCTGGGTTCCCCGCCCACCCGAGACCGCAAGCCTGGCGGCGGTGTATTGAAAAGGCTAAAGTCACGGAAGATCCAGGCAGACAGCCGAATCGTGACGGAAGATGAGCTGAGGACGCTGGGGAGACCCATCACCCCGGAGGACGTGCTGGGGCTGCGGACCGTCACCAGCGGTAGGCGTGCTGACCGCCGCGCTGCTCCGATCTTGGCTCCGAGCGTCTGCGGGAGTCCGGACAGTTTCGGGATCGGCGGAGTCGTGGCGTAAAGTTCTCTTACTTCTGCATCCGGTAACATCGGTCGAAATGTTTAACATTTATAATGTTCAGGGTTGACTAACTTTCTCACGACGCCACATTTCAAAGTTTGTTTTTATTACTAGTTATTGAAAATGTCTGCTTAAGACATGTTACTAATTCGGACGTAATACGCCTAACTTCTTGCCGAAAAGTAACACTATAACTACTTAGAGACCAAACACTATTTAATTTTAGATACAAAAGGCGATTACATACAATTTCACAATAAGAAGAGTAGAGTAACACTGATAAAGCGCCACTTTTAGATCAATGGCCATCGTAGATAGGGGTGGGTCCTCAGACTGAACCGCGTATAAACACCGTGGGCGGAAATCAGCGTCTCCTCGGACAAGGGCACCGCCGGATAGTTAAACGGTAACCTGGAAACCTGCCCGTGGAGATGGACTAGGCTCAGGCTTTGGGGTAGGGGGGTAGTAACCGCACTCTCGATGTATTCAACAACAGAGAACACCTTTTGCTTGTTTGCAGTAATACTATATTGTTTAGGTGATGTTTTTGTCTACGGCTTAGCTAGTGTCTGTCCCAAGTTTGATTGTGGTGATTCAGTACTCTTGAAGTCTGCTATATTTGTACACTTACCTTGGCTCAGCCTTGGCTTGGAGGATAAAGTGTCTGACACCATGACATGTATTTAGAACAGTGCAGGTAACAGAGTATGAAGAGTAACTGATTCTGATTCTGTAAGCACTTTGAGATTTTTGGTAATGTAAAGTGCAGTATAAATAAAATGTATTATTATTATTAACACTGAGTGTTCCTTGCCGACTGTGTCCCCAGATTACCTGTGCAAGCCAGAGGCCAACATCTTTAATATCGACTTCACACGCTTCAAGATCAGGGACCTGGAGACAGGGACTGTGCTGTTTGAGATTGCCAAGCCCCCCAATGCTGGTATCCTGTCCCCTAATGCGATTGGGTGGGTGGGAATTGGGCCATGGGTGTGGCTTTGTGCTGTGGGTGTGGCTTTGTGCTGTGGGTGTGGCTTCCCCTGACCCTCCTATCATCAACTGCCAGGTCTGGAGGAAGAGGAGGCAGAGGGGGACGAAGAGAATGGGGACCTGGATTCCAGTGCAGGCCGCTTTGTGCGCTACCAGTTCACCCCGGCATTTTTGAGGCTGTGTACTGTCGGAGCAACGTGAGTCTGACCTGTGCTTTGAGCATAGATGTATGATTACTAGACTGGGTGCAGCACAGCGTGTGTATAGGGGTAAAGGGAGGTGACATTATTTAATCATTGGAATAGTTATCTACAATTCTATTTGGGATATGTTTCAAAATGCTGAACTTACAGCTACAAAGGGGATAGTACTACTTTGTCTGCCTTTATTTTGAGAGACTAGGAGACTTTCCAGTTGAATCCTATTGTCCTTGCTGAGATTAAATACGGGTTGATGCAAGGTATTTCTGTTGTCTCCAGAGCCCAGCTGTGATCCGGAAGTGGATTTGCAGCTGCTTGTCAGCTGCTTGTCTGCTGCATTGTTCCCTTGATCCTCTCTGCTTCCTGTTCCAGGGTGGAGTTCACAGTGGGCGACCGTCCCGTGCCCAGCTTCCGCATGATCGAGAGGCACTTCTTTAAGGATCAGCTACTCAAGAGCTTCGACTTCGACTTTGGCTTCTGCATTCCCAACAGCCGCAACACATGCGAGCACATCTACGAGTTCCCGCAGCTTCCCGAGAGTCTGGGTGAGCCCGCCTGGGTCAGGCTGCCTGTGGTCATTTATAAGCCACGCCCATTCCTGCCTCCCAGTAACAACGCATTATATAATAATGCCACATTATGTAGTAACTTGACAAAACATAAATTTTCATCACATCATGCAATGTTATTATATAATGCGTTGTTACACACTGTGTAACAACACATTTTGTAGTAACACCGAATTATGTAATAACTCGACAGAATGTAATAAATTGAATGATGGTGAACTTTTCGTAAGCCCTTGTTCAATCAACAGGTAGCTAACCAGCTATATATCAAATACCGAGACAAAAAGCTATCATTTGTTTTCGTGGTACACCATTTGAATAATAATCTCAATATTCAAAACAATTCAGAGTTTTGCAATGAAACACTTCATAAAATTTACTACTAAAATAATTTGCCTTTCACAGTGGGACTATCCATTGCCTCGGTCATGATTGTTAAAATGACTCGCCCCCAACTTGGAGCTTAAAGAAAAAGTTTCCCCACTGGTAAATACGACTTTGTAGTGGCATTCGTGTGCTCTCATCTCATGTTTACGATTTTTCCAACATGACTTGAGGGCAAGGTTTGTTACGTTTTGTCAAGTTATTACATAATGCAGTGTTATTACATAATGCAGTGTTATTACATAATGCAGTGTTATTACACAATGTGTCGTTACACTCTCTCTGTCAGATTGTTGATTTCATTTCACTTTTCTCTCATCTCTTCTTTCTTGGAGTTCTGTGCCTCCCCAGGTGATGCAGGCCTCCCGTGACAGTGGTCTTGTCTGTCTCTGTCTGTCTTCTCTCTCTTCCATCCGTCTTTGCCTACCAGAAAATGCCTTCCTGAGGTTAGAGGTCGAATGCCTTGACTCATTGGCTCTGACTGTTTTTCTCCGTCTGTGTAAATTCGGTTTTTGTATATGTGGTCGATACTGGTCCATTTGGAGGCCAGTGTTCTGAGGCCAGTTGCTGTACCAGCTAAATTTGACAGCCTGGTTTACGATGTATGGAATCTAATTTGTTCGAGTGATTTGATCTGGGTCATTATGTACACTACATATATGTGTGTGTCTGGATGCTTGTGATGGTCATTGTTCAATAGTAATTGAGTTTTTCCTTTATGTGGCTTCTTATTGCTGTGGGTATAATGTTAATATTGCAGTTGCAGTCCGAGCTTGCAGTGAATGTCATTTCTGTGTACTACAGCAGAACACTCACTGGGACATTGCTCAGTATGAGTCTGTGTTCTTAACCGCTCTGCCACCTGCTGTCCATGTCTCATGGGCTGTCTTCTCTGGCGTTGTTCCACAGTTCGCCAGATGGTGGAGCACCCTTACGAGACCAGGTCTGACAGCTTCTACTTTGTGGACAACAAGCTGATCATGCACAACAAAGCCGACTATGCTTACAATGGCGGTCAGTAGCACTGGCCCAACACCTGGGTTGGGGGAGGGTGGGGGTGCTGCCTAAGAACTCTTCACGGTGGATCAGCCATAAACTACAACCCCTGCCCCCCCCCCCCCCCACAAGAATCCACAGGAAATGGCCTACACTGTTTGTTAATTTGCCAAGACTAATTTATTATTAATGAACCATTTAATAGCTGCCCCCTTCCCACTCTCTCACTCACACACACTCTCTCACACACACACACACATATACACACTCTCACACACACATGCCCACTTAAACTGTATTTTAATAACTGTCAATTGCTCTATGCCCCAGGACAGGGGAAATTAGTTTTTTTTTTGTTTTTTAAAGCAGTGTGCAGTTGCCATGGAAACAACATGGAATCATGGGGGTCTTGTTGCTTGCGGGCATTTCTGAGCCGTACCTCTCAGCAGTTTATTTCAGTGCTGTGCCCTCACTGCGCTGTGGCGTGAGAGGTGTCAGACGGCCTGCTGGCTTTGCTGGACGTCACTGCTTCTTCTCCACATGTCAGTGTCACTGGTCATATTTAATTATTATTTTCCCCCGTGATGTTCAGTGTTTAGCCGTGACGGGGCGTCTGGGATGGCCACAGCAAAATCTGTTGGCTTTTATCTCCTTTTCCATGAAAATAACCCTCTTTGGTTACCACTGGGGGAAACGACGAAGCTGTAGGGTCACGTGACGGGTTGAACTAGGTCAGTGGATGTAGCAGCGATCTGAGACGCGCCAAATAACTGGAATCAGGCTGGGTCCCACATACTTGGATTGATCTGTTTTCCTCTCTTTAACCTAAATGGTGAAGTTTGGTGATGAATTAACCCCCCCCCACACACACACACACACACACACACACACACACCGTATTCTCCGCACACAATTTTGTAGACAGTCAAATCCCATCCAGGGTTGTTCCCTGCCTCGTGCCCGTTGCTTCTGGGATAGGCTCCGGACCCCCCGCGACCCAGTAGGATAAGCGGGTTGGACGATGGATGGATGGATGGATGGATGGGTAAAATCACTACTAGGTAACCGCTTAAGCTCCTCCTGTTGTGTAGGAACATTCTCTGGGTTGTGTTGAGGTGTGCAGACTCATAGCGGATCTGCTTAAAATCAAGCTAATTGCCTGCCTCTGTGGCCTGTGTTGCTGGTTAAATGTTCATCCTTGTTTATTTTGATTTAAATATGTAATTATGCCTCACAGAGGAGCCTTTCTTACTGACATTTTGACCCCCACGTCCCCGGCGCCTGGTTGTCGGCGGAGCCCAGTGTAGCATCCCGCGTTTTTCCTCTTTCTTTTTTTGGTTGCCGTGGCCTGTCGTCACGGCAACCTGCCAGCCACAGCTGTGGTCTCTTTGACCACGTCAGCCATGAGGGTCCTCCATGTCTCTGCCGGCTGTCCGTTGCCACGGGATCGCTGGCCCTACCCCAGAAATGCTGTCAAACACATTCACACACACACACACACACGCACTTTCATGTTGACACACCCCCCCCCAACAAAAGTAACCCTCCATTCCCCCCCCCAAATCTTCTTGTAGGCTATAGTTTCACTGCAACCCCAAATGAACACTAAGACAATGTTTCTCTAACCAGTCCTCATGTATCCCCAGACTGTCCATAGGCAGCAGAAATGTGGACTGTCGGAAGGAGCAAAAGCCTGGACCATCTGTTGGTCGCCCAGGACCGAGTAGAGAAACACTGCACTAAGATACTGAAACAGGAAGTGATGAAATGGCAGCTCGTGTCGGCCAATCACAGCTCACCCCAAAAGTCTGAGTGGGCACAATGAGAGGAAAAACATATCAACACATTACGTATAAGCAGATATTTTATGGTTATAAGTATTTAACCACCCTTTTGCACCAAAATATACATGATCTGATGCACTGACCTGTGTATTAATAACTAAAACAGTTCTTAGTGCTACAGCTAGGTGTAAAGTTGGGTATCTTGTCCATGTTGGAATGGTTTAGGCCTTTGGAACAGTAACATTTCTGCGTGTTTGGTGAAGGAACTTGGTAATCAAGACTACTCTAAGTCTCTAAGCTGCTAATTTTTTTTTTTTTGAGGTTATTTTGTACTATTATCCATTTTTGAAATATTCTTTGGGGAGTTGGTGGTAACCATGGATTTGAGGACAAGAAGGACATTTTGCTTAATGAAGGTTTTTACAATTGGAGAGGACATTTTGAAATATAAAATCTGTATGAGTACAAATACATTTTGTAGCAGCATGTCTGGTGTAAATTTGCCTTGTTTGTAAAATATATATATATCTATTTTGCCAACAGCAATAATAAATGTTATTTTTTTCCCCACAGTACTTGTGTGTTGCATAATCTACATGCTTGTCTAGAACTCTCGATCACTCGGCCTCTGCAGTTGCGGGTTTGCTTGTTCCAGGCAGCAATTTAATCCACAAGGCCTGAAGTTCTTCGCGACGCCACTGGAGGGCACTCCGAATACGCTATTAAATCCCCCGCAGTTTCTCAAGTTTTCCGGGATGTAAACTAATTTCGTCCATTTGGAAAGCGTGCTGTCATGAAGTGGGTGTATAGGTCTGACGTTTCAGCCAGACTGGAAAAATATGTCAAAACAAACTTTAAAAAAAAAAAAATACAACATATTTCTGAATTTAAGAAACCATTGTCTGCCTCATGACATACAAGTACACAAAATGTGTTGAGAGAACTTGTGCTTCCTGGTATGTGCATATTTTTTTTTATTAACGTTCGCAGTTAAGCATGGATGAAGGTTTGCTCCTTAAAACAGCCACGTCACGGTCACGCCCAACCAGCCCAAACTAACCCGTTAGCTAACAGCCAACCAACAACACGCCCTGTATTGTATCCTGTTTGAAATCGATATGCGGCTTCTATGCACGTGACGGTGAATTTGCACCTGTTTTCTGTAGCCTCTTTTTTCCCGGTTAAGCCCCCTTTCTCCAGTCTCTCATCATCTCTCCAGTCCACCCCCCCCACATTTCCCTCCCATTCTGTTCTCCACATTCATTCTCGTTCTCCCTCCCTTCCTCTTCACTGTTCCTCCTTGTCCCCTATTCACCCTCTTCTTTCTTTTTCTGCTGCTCTCTCTGTCTCTCTCAAACTCCCGCCTGGTAAACGCAGCCTGGGGGACTGGTGTTGGGTTTCCACTTTCCCAGAGAGAGAGAGAGAGAGAGAGAGAGAGAGAGAGTCTCAGCTTCACAAAGCCAAACAAAAGGCGCCTGCTCTCCACCTTCCCACATCCACCTATTCTCTCTCTGCTCACTCTACCAATGCTGTCCCTCTTTCTCTCTTGTTTCATCTGTCGTCTGTGTTTCTTGGCACCCTGTACTACATGTTATCAAGTACGAAGATTTAATTGAACTTTTAGGAAGCTGGGTAAAATCCCGTTTGTTTATTTGATCCCAGCTGGACTTCAGCCTTCCGCCTTTCCGTCTGATTGCTGTGTCCATGTTTCTGGTGCAGCTCCTCGCGACCTGTTTGTAGTTCATGTCTCAGCCAGCAGAGGGCATGTCAGTCATACGTTGTCACCTGACACTCCAGCTGCCACTTCTGGCAGCTATAGCAACAACGTTAATACCTTAAGTCATTTTTTTTTTTGCTGTTGAATAGTTCCCTTTTTCTCTCATTTGGCCATCAGTCACCCTTACAGAGGGCATCATATATTCACCCTCCCTCTTGCCAGTTTCTCCTTTGGCTCATTGGCTAACAGATACAACAATCATCTCTTTACCCAGGTGTTCTGGCCTGTGATTGGGGCAGGTGAATATCAAATGCCGACCTTACAACCTTCAGTGACCTTTTAATCATGTACTCGGACGAATTCAGGGATTCATGTTTTGACGTGACGGCCCTTTATGGAGCCTTGAATGGATGAATTAAGGTTGTTAGGTTGAGTGCATAAATGAATCTTTTAATTGTCACTTAATTCCTCAAGCAGCTGCATATACTTCAATTAGATTCACTCTCTCCATCAGCTCATGAGTCCTCTCATGGGGAACTCCTGTTTGGTCCAAGTCACAAAAGTTCTCTTTACTGTAGGAGAGCTGCTCCATCTCCTTCACCTCCCTACACTGCCAAAACCATGACAAGGGAATGGATCAAAGCTATTTATAGGCTAGAGTGATGGCGCTGATAGGTCCTGCGGAAGCAGGGGTAGGAATATGGAAGAGGGATTAGAAGAGATAGACGGAGGTGGAGCCAGGCATCAGACAGTGGGGTTTGTGTTTATGTGACACTGAAATCGTCTGGGTCCTTTGCCTGTTTGTAAGTTTGCTGTGACCCATGTACAGTATCAAATCCATGTCACCTCCAGCATCTTCCTCATTGGAATCTTCCTCACCCTCTCTCTCCGGTGACCTTTTTCTAAATGAAAACAGATGGAAGGAGTGGCTTTGAGGATGAGCAGGAAATTGGAGGCAATTCAACGTTTTTACACTTTAAACCTGGGCGAGTGTGAATCCAGCGTTTCCCACAGAGTGTCTGGCTTAAATCTGGGGAGCTTTTTCTGCCGGCTGGAGGTCACTAAGGCCTGACACTGCATCACACTACGCGTGCCTGGGGGCAGCCACAGCTGTGCTCTACTCGCTACAGGAAAATGAGATGAGCTTTAATTCAAATTAAACCAGGAGTAGAATGCGAGAAGAGCATTCTGGGATACATGTGGCAGGTAGTAAACAGCCTATGTAGACTCATCCAATCCAGACAGCTCCCCCTGACCATGGCTTTTCACTTTGGCAGAAAGTGGGCCAGAAGCAGCACCGTGTGGGCACAGGTCCGGGCAGGAAGGCTGGGCTGCCGCGATAAGGTGGCCAGAATGAGACTGTTTAACATGATAGCTTCACCTGAGATTCAGAGCCACGGAGTCCAGTAATCACCTATTTGAATGTCCTCCACTTCTCCTCAATCACGGCCGAATAAAGAGCCTTTCAAAGGTCCCCTCTTCATTCTCTCTCGCTTTCTGTATTCCTCTTACATGTGTCCGTTCTCCAGCCCTCTCTCTCTTCTTTTGTCTCGTCCCTCTATTCCACCCTACCCTGAGGAAGAGAGAAGGGTTTTGAAAGGACTGACCTCACGGCGCAGGTGTGTTTTATTCCAGCTGGTACCTGTGCGAGGAAACCTGCCACCGGCCCAGGATGGCCCAGAGCTTTAAGGCGTGATCCATTACCTGACTTGTCTGTCACGATGGCTGTGGTTTTCCCCCTTGCTAATGGCTGGATGCAACTCAAACTGATCCCAGACCAGATGTTTTTGAAGCTCCATATGGAGTTTACGTTGACTGGGCCTGCAGAAAAAAATATAACTAGAGTACACAATATTTATAGAGTAACAATAATGATAGTAATCACATACAGCACTCTACTGCACCTCGAGCCAACTCGCTGAAGCCACACAATGTTTTCACGAGCATCACAAAGTAGTGCATGCGTTTATTATTATGAACTATTGTATTTAACCTGAATTTTTAACATAATAGAGTTTATGACCGTTTGTTAGTAGGAGTTGTCCTTAAGTTGGATGTTCTTAATCCAGAGTGGAAGTAAGATGCCAATACGACCCTGCTCCCCCCACCACCCCCCATCCAAGGATTTCCAGCAGGTGTCAGACCCATTGGGTCAAAGGTCAAAAATAAACAATAGCCTCCCAACTCTGAGGCTGGCTTTGGTCAAAGGTACCAAGGAACGAAGATCCTGATTGGCGTAAAAGCAGGCTGGATATGTAAGTGTGGGTGAAGCTAAGGGAGACATTTAGCTGCTATTCTTAAGGCCCACTCCGAGGAAGTCACAAAAGTGCCCTAGTGAAAAGTCAAACTGTGCTCCCTGAGGGCGTGTTTAGTTATTTAGGATCATGCTGTTTAGTCATTTAAAGCAAACAGAAAAGAAAAAAAAGCTGGCAGAATGTTCATTCATAATTAGGAAGTGAACCAGTCCTAGGCTCAGCTGAATTTGGGAATGAAAAAGTTTTTTTATTTCGAATACATGCTCATGATTTTATTTGAGATGTTTTGGCGGCAGTGGTGGAATGTAACAAAGTATTTGTACTTCGTTACTGTACTTAAGTACATTTTTACGTATCTGTACTTTACTTAAGTAAAAATAATAATGCATACTTTTTATTTTACTCCATTACATTTTGCGGAAACTATTTGTACTTTCTACTCCACTACATTTCTACAATTTATGCCGTTAGTCGTTACATTTTCTGAACACAATTTCCTCAAAATCTTGCATGAAAAAATAGTTAGCCTATTGCGTTCTGGCGTTGTTTGCCATTTCCTACCAATCAGGTGGCTTTATTAGCTCCAATGATGGCAGAGCGCATCAATTAGCAGCAGGAGCTGGTAGACTGGCTGGATTTCAAGAAGACGAGACATTCAACATGGACCCATTCAACATTGTTTATCTTAATGGTATATTAGTGGGTGATACCTAGTAGATAACTTGTCATCCACATAATTCTAAGTTAGGGTACAGACAGTATTGCAGAGTGCACGCACAATAAGCACACCAAACTTTCCAATACACATATACTGTATAGTTGCTTGTAATAATTACGAGCAATGATATTGGTAGAGGCGTAAGTCAGTATATCTACTATTCTTTTATAAAATGGCACACCCCAGACGTTGAGACAAACCATTGTGTGAGTACTTTTACTTAAAAAAATACTTTAAAGTAAATTTAAAAGTAAGTACAGAGTACTTTCACTTAAGTAAGATTGTTGATGTAGCACTTCTACTTTTACTTGAGTACATACTTTGCAGGATATTTGTACTTTTACTTAAGTACTAAGCTTCAGTACTTCCTCCACCACTGTTTGGCGGAAACTGCCTTTTTTCGGTAACTTTCCGAAAGAGTTGGCACACGTAAACAAACAGGCTCGCACACTCGCACACACGCGTACTGGCCCTCGGTCCCACTAATCCGGCATCTTCCCCTTTTATTTTCCCGCACAGAAGCTCCCTCCTCGCGCTTTCTCGTTTCGTCACGCCTCGCTGACCTGGAAAAGGCGAGGCAGCGGCTGCCAATCGGCTCCTAACGAGAGAACAAAAGTCATGTATGGCAAAAGACTCCGTACAATAAATTCTCTCACTTTTTTTTTCCAGTTTGCTTCACTTGCCGGGACTCCAGTGCTGCTTTTCTGTTCTTTAGCTCCTGCTTGTTGATATTTTCTCATCCTCCACCTTCTATGTTACGCTTAATTTCCCTCCACCATAAGTAGCCCTTGTCCCCACTCCAGACTCCCCCCCCCCGTCCCTCTCTCTTGCGAGCCACCTGATTTCTTACCCTCCCCCCAAACCTTTTCTCTCCCTCTATTCAACCCCATTGATCATGCATGCAGAAATTCAGCACGCCCATAATTCCAGTCAGAATGGGCCTTGCCCTACATACTGTTGCCCCCCCCCCCCCCCCCCGACACGCTGGCTCCAGCCCTCTGGTCCGCTGTCCCTTTGCAACATGACGCACAGTCACACATTTCTAAAACTTGCAGCCCACTCAGTATAAACTCAAATATACAGCCTGAATTTAAAATATAAACAGAAAATATCATTTTATACATTTGGCTCCATAAACTTTCGTTCCCCATTGTATATTCATTATATTTTAATGCTTTCCTGAGTTAAAGGGATGAAATATAAAGTGGCTGATTCTCTCTCTAATTGTCACTTACGGTAGCTGGCAGTTTCTTGTCTCTGCGATGTTGGTTGTCCAGAGAATCCGTTACTTTGAAAAGAAAACCAAAATGTAGTTCATAGCTATGTTTGGACTTTTATAACTGCACATCTGGTAAAAAGTCACTCCTTAATGCTAAAGTTTGCAGAGTTGCCTGTTTTCAGTTTTCAAAGGCCTCTCGTCTCAGCCAAACGCCGCCTTCTGTGACTCTCTCTCGGAGTTGACTCCTGAAGTAACCCTCTCCAGGACAATACTGACTCCTGATTTCTTCAAGGAGACTTTGTGCATCAGGTGTATTTTTTTTTTTTACTTTTATGGGAAACAGTGCGCACAGTGAGAATGAGAGTGAGGAAGAGGAGAAAAAGGGGGCAGGAGGTGAAAATCCTGGGAGGACTAAGCATCTAAGGATCGGCCAATCTCTGCCCCCGTTAGCCATCCATGACATCATCACATACCATCACCGAGGTCGTATTAGTCTCCTCCATTATTCCTTGTCCGTTAGTACGGAGTCAGAGTTGATCCCCCCCTCCCCCCCCCCAAAAAAAGGGCATTCTATCTCACGGTCAACCCACACAGAAACACCAAGCAATTTAACACCAAGAGTCTTCATGGGAGGGTTGCAGGGAAAACTCTCTGTGATAATTGAGCACATCTTTGCTTGATAAGGATGTTGTAAGAGTTAGTAGTGGGGTCGCACACCTACAAGATTGTGGGTTTGATTCCCTCATCTGACTCAGCATGTGTTAAGTTTGAAGGTTTTTCTTTTGTTTGAATGGATTTCTCCCACATGTTTATGGTTTAAGGGAACTTGTGTGAAGTAAAGCACCACATGGAAACAGAAATTGTTGTTTATGTCAGGCCTACACCTTTAATCACAACAATGATGAACAATAATACAGATATCAGCATGCAATATTTAAGCAAGGTTTTGCAGTCTTTTATATCCATGTAGTTTGTATTATGGGATGTATTAAAATGATTACAAAGCTGTCAGTGTTCTTGGATTCTGTGTGAAGATGAAACAGGAACAGCAGACATTGTTGGGTTCCCAGTGATGTGCATTTAATTACTGTGCAGGTGAACATTATTCTAACAGGCCTGACCTTTATGGTTATTACCTCTGAAAATGATACAGCAGGCGAAGGCCTAACTTCTTAACACTGCAAAATGGGCTACCGAGGGCTCAGGTGACCACCTGGGCAACATGAAGGAGGGCTTACGAAAAGCTGGTAATCTACCACTTACTCACTGAATCACATGGTACGTGAACGTGAGTCCAGTGGGAGGGGGAGGGGATGTCTGTAGCTGGCTAGTTCAGAGGTAGTACTATTCACTTAGCATTTATAAATATAGAGAGGTACACAGTCATGGGACCTGGACCGGGGTCAAGGGTCACAGGAGCGTACTGTGCCTTTAAAACAGAGTCCTGCTGCAACTGCAGTATCTGCATCCATCTAACTGATGCTCACTGCCATTGTAAAGCTACTGATGTCGCAGAGATTGGCCAAATCAATCCCTGCTAGGACTAGTGACAGGAGGGGGGGGAAAAATCTTCACAACTTTCGTCCTGTCAGCTAAACACGAACAGCCTGGATTCAAAAACGCCCCTTTTCAGATTGTCTTCGAGATATCTAACTCCATACACAGCATGATGTCATACATCAGTGCATGAAATAAAGCTATTTTAGAAACTGGTTATAATAAACTTTTTTGACGAAGTTTATTTCTTCAAAAGGCAGTGTGGGGTTCCCTATTTAGTGACACTCCTGGTCCCCGGAGGACTAGAGACGCGAGAAAACGCCGTTTGCTGATGCGCAGGTTTACAAAGGGCGCTCCGCACGTGAATCTCCTCTCCCCGCGTCGTATCACGATCACGTGACGCCGGGCTCCCTGTAAACGTAATGGACCCGTATTCGTCGGATGTTCCGGCCCGGTTTAAGGCAGACAGAAACGTCGTCCGTGGGGATATAAGGCTTGCTATTTCCGTACCGTAGGAAATATAACTAACAAAAAAAAAAAATCACTGCAGCGTCAGTAACCGGAGCCGCCGCGTACAGAAGCGAAACACCATCCCTATGGCGGATTGCACGTCTATCTGCGGTAACAGGAAAGCAGGGGTGACGGAAGAAAGAATACAGTCAGCAGGACGGGGAGAGGAGGGAGAGAGATAGGGAGAGAGAGAGAGAGAGAGAGGGGAAGAGAGGAGGAGTCTCCTCTTTTGTGTGTGTAAAGCGCTCTCCTCCCTCCTCTCAGAGACAGGCCCCCCCCCCCCCCCCCCCCCCCCCCCCCCCCCCCCCCCCCCCCCCCCCCCCGCAACCAGCCCACCCCCCTCGGCCACCCGCCCCTGACTCCACTCTCGCCGCGCTCTCGCACTGCACAGTCGGGAACAGAGGCACGGAATGGACACGGAAGGGAGCCAGAGCAGCCTGTCCTCCGCGGACTCCCCCCACGATCCCTGGTAAAAAGAAAAAACAAAAAAACAAATAAAAAAAACCTCCCCTCCGATCTCTCGCCCTGCTCGCTCCGGTTCGTCCACTGCCCCGACAGCGACCCGGGAGTTGATGATCAGGCTGCCGGAGCTCGGAGACAAAAGACGGCGTGCTTTTTTTCTGTTGTGCTCTCGCTGCGCCGCGCCGCGCCGGACTTGTGTCATTGTCGCCCTGCCGGAGTGCAGCGGACCGCGCGCCCCCGTCCTGCTCCGTGCGCTACGAGAGACGGGACAGTCCCGATATATTTGCAACTTTTCTAATCCGTACCAAAAAGAAGTGTACGTCTTAAAGCTGGAATAACGGCCCGACCCGACGTGAAAGTAGACCTGTACTGCCAACATGGCCGATTCTCTTTTACTTAAGTCTTCTTTTTTAATTTTATTGTATCTTACCTGGGATGCCGTTTCTCATTATTTCTCTCATTTTCCCTCCCTAGCAAAATGTTCATTGGCGGCCTCAGTTGGCAGACGACACAAGGTGAGCCGTCCATTACAACCGCGATGTACTTTGCAAAGTCTGAAAGGTGGATGTGATGGCGATCTGTTTTTATTGTTATTAATACTTATGTTTTTTTAAATTGCAAAGATGTAACGTGTTATTTGCTAACCGTTTTGGAGATGTATTAGAAATCTCCCGTGGTGATGTGAAAGAAAGTAGATGTGGGACTGAACTGCTGAAATCAAAAGCGGTCATTGAACTAAGGATCACTGTGCGGAGATTTCCAAGTGTGCTGGATTGAAACAAACAGTGGAGCCGGAGGGAGGGGATTAGCTCACTGTAAATTGATTTAGCACACTTTATGCTGTAGATATTGTTCAATGCATGTGTGTGTGGCTGAATAAGCGAACAGATACTGACATGGGATAAAAGGCGTGAGTTTACATCTTTTTAGTAAGACGGAGATCTCCAGTTTTGGGCAGCGAAAACTTAGTAGATAAAATAGCGCCCCGGGAATTTGTTTTTTCTTTTTTTGTTACTCTTTTGTTAGAGCAGGTTCTGGATCCTGTGTTTGGTGTGTTTAGTCTTCCTTTTATCCCGTTAAACATTGCAGTACAATAGGGCAGGGTGCACATCATAACAGTACAAAGCCGAAGAAGCCACGCTTAACTGGAGATACCTTATGTTTTGTTTTGATGTTTGTATGAAGGCGGCATCGATGCTTTGTTCATCCGCGACATCGGCCGGTGTGTTTAGTACAGATCTACGGCTTATGCTGTCATATTTGTCCGCTGCGATGACTGCGGGTTATCGACGGCAATTTGGGGTTGTCAGCCCTGTACAACCGTAAACTTCCCAAAATTCACATAAAAGATTAATAAGGCGACGCATTTATTGCCACCCATCAGTGTGGACACTTCAAAACAATGTAGTTATTTTTCTTTCCATTTCTTTTAGAGGGTTTGAAGGAGTACTTTTGCAAGTTCGGTGAGGTGAAGGAGTGCATGGTGATGCGGGATCCGGTTACGAAGCGCTCGAGGTGAGAGGAGCTCGCTGCGCGGCCCCCAGTCCCCCACCGCGCCGCCGCCGCTTGTTTGTTTGTTTCTCAGAAGTGCAGCTGCAACATGCAAAAAAATAACTTTCGCATGGTTTATTTTACTGTTAATCCCGCAGGGGGTTCGGCTTTGTCACCTACGTCGACCAGGCCGGTGTGGATAAAGTTTTGGCACAGACCAGGCATGAGCTGGATTCTAAAACCGTGAGTTGCAGTATCTTTGCCTTTTTTGTTGGCTATATTCGAATATTTCCCACCTCAGCAAAAATAAATACTTTTATAAGATTTGTAGGCAATACGGAATAACAGGAGCGCCACAAACAGAGACGATTATTTAAATTAAGAAAGGCACGAAATTTAGGCGGAAATGTTATATATGCCAGCTGTTGGAGGAACTCTCACTGGGAATTGTGAAAAATGTTAATGAATTAGTTATGATGTATAAAAGATGTACTGAGTAAGTACTTTTGCCAAGGTTTCTTAATGCAACTCGAAGATCGGGGAACGTTCTCGACAGCGACACAAGACTTCTGTTTACTTCTTGTCTTTTATATTATTATTATGATGATTATTTTCCACTGTCAGTTTAACAAGCTGCTGAAAGGAAATTGTCAAATAAATAACACTGGGGGAAATGTTAGCGCTCTTTCAAGCCCCCCCCCCCCACGCCTCTCCCTCCGACCGTGAGGCTGTCAGGAGCGCGCGACATAAAAGCGTTCGGTGTTCATCTCCATGGTAACCTGGGGACCCAGACGGGGCGGCTCCCCGTTACAACTTCAGCAGTTGGCTTTGCAGGCCGCTTGACCAAGTGCTTCCCACCCTACAGCATAAGTACTGTGGTGCTTATATGATAAAACAATGAAGAAGAAAAAGACTTAAGCTTGGAAAAAAGCTACTTACTAAAAACTAAAAATTAACTGCGCTTACATAAAAATATATGTATTTCCAAGTGGAAAGTAACTTTTGGAAAAAGTAGACTGTATGTTCTGTCTGTTGTTTTATTAATAGCAGAGAAATTTAAGCAAAACTTGTCAGAACTGTTTTCATGGTTTCCAAAATGTGAATCTGACCCTTTTCTTTGTTTAAGTTCTGTCTGTAGTTTTATGATAGGGGAACTGGAAGAAAATAATACATTGTTACATGCAGTTGACGTCATTGTCACAGATTAAAGCAACAAACTGCCATACATTTTGACATTTATTACTTTTATTTAAAGTGATGCATGTCTGTGGTTAACGTGTGTAGTGGCTTTGCACTGTGAGTATCTTTTAGATTGTTGAATTAACTCAGATGAAGTACCTGTTTAAGGGTAGAGCGATGAAGGCCCTCCTGGGACATGAATGAAGCCTTTGTCAGATGTGCAGGGCTGCGTATAACACAGTCCTTCAGCTGATAGGAAGTGAACCGGCTCCCGGTGGACGTGAAGTCCTCTGAGGTCGAGCTGAGCGAGTTTTGCCTCCCTCAGCCCTGTTTTCCTAACCTCACAGCAGAGTCTTCTGGGGAGGGGGGCAGTCTGTCCGCATGTTGTGTGTGTGCATATCTTTGTCAGTGATGATGAATGTGGGTGTGTCCAGGGACAATGCTGCCAGTTTGTCACCATGGGGACGAGAGAGCTGCTTTACTGCCGCCCCCCCCCCCCAACCACCTAAATCAGGAGGTCAAACGCAAGGAGAGATGACTGTTGTGTGTGTGTGTGTGCGCATGCAGGAACAAAATAGGGTCTCTGGCTGTTTCATTTTACTTATTTCTTCTGTTTTTTTATTTGCTTAGAGGTGGAAGCTGTCACACATCTGTCCCTCAACATTTTAGTTGAAGGAGGGCAGAATTAGAGGTCAGGGGAACCAGACGTGTAGGGATTAGAACTGATGGGCCTGGACATAAGAGATGCAAAGAGATGAGGATGAAGCGCAGTAGTAAGGGAGACAGAGCAAGGGAACTAAAAAGGGGAGAGGCAGAGGAAGGGAACTAAAAAGGGGGGAGGCAGAGGAAGGGGACTAAAAAGGGGAGAGGCAGAAGAAGGGGACTAAAAAGGGGAGAGGCAGAGGAAGGGGACTAAAAATGGGGGAGGCAGAGGAAGGGGACTAAAAATGGGAGAGGCAGAGGAAGGGGACTAAAAATGGGAGAGGCAGAGGAAGGGGACTAAAAAGGGGGGAGGCAGAGGAAGGGGACTAAAAAGGGGGGAGGCAGAGGAAGGGGACTAAAAAGGGGAGAGG